GAGCTCAGAAAGTTCATCTGCGAGGCCATTCGCCATATTGTATCTCAAAAATCTAGGACCATGCTTCCTCATATGAAGTTATTTAACGGGACAGTAACTCATGAGCAATGCCTCTCCAAGCAAAGGGAATGAAAATAATAAGGGAACTGCTGAGGCCTCATGGCTACCTTCAAACACCAATTCACTGATGCCTATGGTTACTAATTTGTCCCAATTCTTCTTTCCTTGAGGAATTCTCCATTGTTGGGCTGAGCAGTCGAATATTAGTTACCTTGCTCTATTTTCTGAGTCCCATGTTTGGGAGCTTACTCTGTTACCTGAGTACACAGATTCAATGCTGGTCAAGATCTTGAAATTGCAATTTTGTGTGTTGAACAGTTGAAGTAGAACCCAAAATCTAGCACCTCCAGGTCAAGGAAACTCGAAACAAAGGTGCATTGGCTGGTGGCTGGGTTCACAATGAAAACGACATCCCTCTGCCGATCTATGTAAAGTTCCATGCTCAAGTAGCAAAGATTCCGTTCCCATGGCTTTCGACCATTTTCCTGCACACAAAGTCGTCCGTCCTCTTCGAAACCCGAAGATTTGAACAAAGGAACTTCCTGTCATTCGGGTAGTTGTAGGGGAAGATAACATTTGATTCCAGGATTGGGATATTGATTTGAATGAAGTTTAATATGAAATAACTTAAGAGGATTCTCGGGTAATAAGGGTGCAATTTGTCCGAATAACTTACCCTTTGATTTGAATTCCTTGGACCCCTTAAATTTTCACTGGCTACTTGACCAAATGACATGAAGCTTCACAATATCATTTCATACCCTTCTCAGGTAATAAGAGTGTAATTATTACTTAAGGATCTTGAAGTGAGTCCTTCCGGCTAGAGATATCAACATTTCTTGGTCTCATTATATTTTTTTTTGCATGTACCGAGCCTTTCTCTGTTATTTTCAATTTGTGCAGCCGACCTCAAATAGTTGGATAAGACTTAGATGATGATGATGTTATTTCTAAAATGAATCACCAAATTTCGTAATTGTAAATGTGTCGTTTGTATAGAACCGAGGTCCTAAACAATGAAATTAGAACCCATCTTCAAATAGTGTCGAGAAATGTAGTTTCAATACTAGAAATCTTTGTAATAGCCTTAAAATATATTTCTATCTTTAATTATAAAATTTAAAGCTTAAAAAAGTAGTGTAGATCGAGGAGATCTATGAAAACTTGAATAACTTAAAAATTGATGGTCAAAAAATGCGTTACAAGATGTATTATTTCCAAAACTTGAAATCTATTTTTTTCTCAAGTCCATGCATCTTGATGTTAAGATGATCAATTTTAAGATATTTGGGCATCAAAACAACCTTTTCTAGTGCATATTATAACGCATTATCTAGACCGTCCATTTTCAAGATTTCATATGTAGAAACCACACCCTTTTGATATTGTCATTACAATTATCAGTTACATTTATATGAAACAATTAGTTAGCATATTATATTACTATTACACGAAGTTTTGTAATCTTAAATGTTCAATGGTATACCGAAGCAACCACGTTACCTTTGAACTAATTCTACCATGACACATAGTTACCCGAACTAACTCATATTTTATGGGCTTGTTTGGATGATAGTCAATTTTATTTTTAATATAACTAAAACTATATATACTTTAGATAATATTATTATATTAATTTTTTGGTACATATCTTGTAATTAATACATATAATATAATATAATTATTATCATTTTGGCAATTTGTAGCTATTTTTTGGGAAAATATAAATTTTGAATAAATTATGTTAACAAAATAAATGTTTAAAAATATAAATTTATATGTAAAACTACCTATAATTTATCTCACATAATAACTTGATAAAGATAGACATTCTCAAACAACAATAGATAATTCGTTGTGAAGATCAACTTTATTAAAAGTTTAAAGGGTTTTGTAAAAGTACTCTACATATGGAGTATTTTTTTAATGTACTCAATATTTATTGGATATTTATTACCTTTATTTTGTAATACAAAATTTTTCAAACAAGAGTAATTTTAGTTAATAAGAGGGGTCTAATTTAATAAAAATTATTGATATTTTATTGGTAATTAAAAAATAAATAATTTCATTTATAAATGATATCGTTTTCAACTATAGTTAATAATCAATAAATTTTATTTTATCTTGACTAATTACAGAAAATATTTCTAGACAAAAAAGTTTCTACATTGTTGACTGGGGATATCAATTGTCCGAAAATATTGAGTACATTATAGAAATACTCAATAGCGATATAGAGGATTATAATCTAGAAATCATTCATTCTTAGCTAATAAAATATAATTTTAACTACATTATTTACCTACCATAAGTTATATTTTCAGTTTTTTTGTATAGTCTTTTTTTTTTCCTTTATGTTTGCATTTTCAATTATAGTATTTAATGCCATAATTGAAGATATTGAAATTACTTTTATTCATATTAGTAAATTTATTATTTACTTACAAATAAATATTTTTTGAAAGTTGTTGTAATGATATTATTTACTTGTATTATTAAATGTATTATTTACTCATAAGTAAATATTATTTAGAAAATTAATAAAAAGAAATAAAAAATGAGAAAACAAAGAGAACATTATTTTCTTTTAATGAAATTATAGTTTCTATAACATGCGCTATGAGCATAAAAATAAGAGTAGTGTTATTAATGAACATAGAATTATTGTTAAACATAATGACAGTGTCATATTTCAGTTAATCTTATTTGTTTTGTTCTTCCTTCTTTTTTGCATTCTCAATTATATTATTTTTAATACTAAATTAATTGAAAGAACATTTACATATAAGTAAATTTTAATTTTGAAAAACAGTCCCATAAATTTCATATTTTCTAATCAAATTCCTTTATTTCAAACATAAAGTGTACTTCTATTTTATTTCATTTTCTATTGGACAAATTTAGTTCAAAGTTGGTATGTATATATTTCACACTATCAACCACTGATAAAAAATATTTATAAAATACCTAGGGGCAGTTTACTAATTTTATTTATTTTATAATATTTGTATATATTTTCTATAGGTGTTTTGATTGTAAAAGCATTGACATATCAAATTTAAGATTGATATAATGTGTAAAAAAATAAAAAAAATAAATTTATATTATCAATGGGACTTCTTGTAAACTATGAAATACATGGAACTATTTTTAAAAAGAAAGTATATAATGAGACCATTTATCTTTTGTAAAAGTTGGTCACAATTAATCTCGACCATTGGATGTCAAATCGGGTGGTTGCATTCATTTCATTGACCATGCTTAAAGTTCAAAAATAATTTTCTCGAACTTTATGACACACCTTAGCTATTAAATTTCACATTGGATGATTGTAAGTAATTGTGACATTCCCATACAAAAGGTAAATGGTTTTATTATATACAATCCGATTTTTAAATTAAGAATGTATATAGGGAGACCATTTACTTTTTGTACAAGGTGGTCACAATCAATTTTGACTATTGAATGTGAAATTGGATGGCTGCATTTATTTCAATGACCAAGCTCAAAGTTCAAAATATATTTTTTCGAGCTTTGTGGCATACAAGCTATCAAATTTCACATCAAAAAGTTGTAAATAATTGTGACCTCCCTGTATAAAAGATAAATGGTCCATTATATACAATCCCGGATAAATATTTAATACAAAACATGACTTATATGTAAGTTTTCCTAATTTAAATTATCTTTACTTATATTATAAAATATATTATTTACTTATAGATAAATATTCTACAAAATTTTAATAAATATATTTTCATTTATAAGTAAATGGAAAAGTAGTACATGCATCACGAGATGCGCCTTTATAATAGTGTCCGCTAACACACTAAACATCCATCCTGTACACGGATGTTAAAAAAGCGGTCATCCCACAAAAATTTAAAATCGATGATGTCAAAATTATATAAAAAACTCATATTTTGTTTTTAATTTTTATTTTTATTTTTCAGATTCATCATGGCAGACATATTTTTTCGGAGATCTTTATTCCTTAAAATTTCAAATGCAAAATCTATCTTTAAAATATATTTTAGAGGGAGGACTCATTTAATCAAAGTCATAAAAACCATGTCCATAAATAAATACAATATCAGTAAGTAAATAAATAAATAAATAAATATATTATTTAAGTATAAAATTTATTTATTTATTCTTACCATTTAGGTTTGGATTTGGAAATTGTAAAAAACAAGAAAAATACAAAAACTAGATAATAGAAAGACATAAATGAATAAATATATAAGATTTTTTTTGTATTTACTAATACTAGTTAGATTACGTGCATTGCACGTAAAAATTAAATAAATAATAGTATAAATAATTGTGTAAATATATAGTAAAGAGTACATAAAATACACAATAAATATTTATATAATATTCACATAGAAGACACAAATCCAACAAACATAAGCACATCTCTCTCTCTCTGTATGTATATATATACACACACATTAAACATAAGCACCACCCTCTCGTTGAGATCAAGGATATGTATGTAACTTTTGATTATTGATAATGCATGTAACTCCTCCTATAGTAAACGAGCATCATATAAGAACTCTATAAACGATGCCATTTTTGTCATATGAATTGCACTTAAGAAACTCTATTCTCATGCATTTTCTTTGGAAAATTCCAAAGAGCACAACTATGAACTCATCTCTTCTCTTTCTTTCTTTATCGATGATACAAAAAGGGAATAGAGCCTTTTTTAAAAAATTTAGAATTAACCAAAGAGAAGATAAAGAGAAAGAAAGATTTATTAAAAAATAAAAAAGATAAATGAAGTAAAAAGGCCATGTGTCAAAATAATAAAAGAAGATTAATGTAAAAAAAAAAAACAGATGGATAAAACCCAAGTTTAAAACGAAAAACGAGATAAATATCGACGTAGATTTTTCCTATATATAGATCTAGACTATTCAATTTTCCGACATTGGAAACGACTTTTCTCATATCTTTTTCTTTCCTTTATCTTTTACCTCTCTCTCTCTCTCTCTGAAAACCGCTTCCTCTCTTCGGTGGTTTTAGGGTTTGGACCTTTTCTCCCTTTAGGTGGTTTTGGGGGGTCAGGGCATCCAGTCGCTAAACCTCTTATTGTTTTCTGGTCCTTCTTGGCCTTGGAGTTTCGCGTTTTCTTCTTTCCTGTTAACTTTTGAGGGTTTGGATTTGATTCTTGCTATATCTATTGGTTCTAGGGTTTGGACCTCTGAGGATAGCGAACAGGTGGTTTTAGGGCTTGGAATTCTGCGAATTGCAGGGCTGGTTTTTCTTGTGTGGCGGATTTACAGTTTCTTGGTTTGGACGGCGTGGATCTCGTCTGGTATGGTCAATGGAAGGGAGGGATCGTGATGGCCCATGAGGCTCGTTCGTGGGGGATCTGAGTGGATCTTCTTGTGCAAGAAGCGAGATTTGGGGGTTTTCCCTGGTTTTTTGTTCGTTCTTGGTTTTTTTTTTTTTCTTGTTTCTCATTCGCTTTGAGAGGGGGACAAACGTGAAGGTCTCTGGTATTCAAAATGGTGGAGTCGAAGCAGTTGGAGGCAATCTCCGTTGCTGGACCAACCGAAGCTGATCGTCAGAGGACCTTGGAACTTGAAAAGGTATCAATCTAAAGATTGTTAATTATTTTCTCTTTTAAATTTGTTGTTTTGGACATGCGTCTTCTTATTTTTTTCTTTGGTTTGATTGCTTCGCATTTGCCCTCTGATTCCGAGCGTTCTTGATGTGAATTTCTCTCTTATTTAGTACTTTTGTTTTTAAGTTTTATGTTTTGATATTGTTTCATGTTGTCATTAATATTTTTTTGTGTTATTTTTGTAAAGTATCTCATTGAGGTGGGCCTATATGAGAGCCAGGAGGAGGCAGCGAAGAGAGTTGAAGTTCTTGCTCAAATTGACCAGGTATTGCATAGTTTTAATTTTGTTTTGTTGATTTATTGTCCTGGTATTTCTTTGGGGAGGAACCAATATCAGTTATAGTTATCATTCATGGTGATGAAAGAATCCTTTTTTTTTTTTTTCATTTAAGGGGTCGGGGAGGTGGTGTTAGGGGCAATGATATTTTGAATTACATTTAAAGATCATGTAGTTTTGTTTAGATTTTGCTGCCATTCTTGTCAGGTCAATTGTTCTTTAAAACAAACGCTAATAAAGTTGATTGAAGGGTGGGGCATCTGCATCTTACAGTGCATATGCACTGTTGTGATTCATGTTTTATCTGGGGAATATTGATGGGGCCATGTTAAGGGAATGGTTTTTTGTCTTCTTTTCTGTTTTAGAGCTCTTTCTCATGTGACTGTGGTGCTTCTTTCCTATATCTCTGGGTTACTATCATGAACCTCACAATGTTTCCATTGATTTGCCTTTTGTTATTTTTATGCAGATTTGCAAAGGTTGGGTCAAACAGCTAACACGTCAGAGAGGCTATACTGATCAGATGGTGGAGGATGCTAATGCCGTAATATTCACTTTTGGCTCATATCGTTTAGGGGTAAGGGTTGGGTTATTTTTTCATACAACTATCTGAAATGATGTCCTTTCTGTAATTAAGTTAGCAGTTCTGCTGGTTGTTCTCTACATAGCTATATTGTGTCATGAGAGATGTAATGACCACCCTATTTTGGTTGGACTTTTTTTGGTCAAGTACTCAAGTTGATGATTGTGTGTTAATATAAATTTGTGTGATGCAAATATGTGATTATATTGGTTTGATAGATGTGCTCTAGTATTTCCTCTATAATATGGTCAGGTACGTCATTATTATTAGTATTATTTTTTTTTGAAAAATAATGTAGGTAGTTTTTTTTTTCCTTTTGAAAATAATATAGATAAAAAAGGAAAACATAGCCACCAAGTTGCACCGAGTTTCGTTCAAATGTTAAGAGAGTGTGCCCCGACAATAGTTTCTTTGGACTCGTGCATGACCAAAAATTTGTCACCCTGTTGACGATTTACAAATATTGGCCACATAAGTCTCAAAATGCATGTATACTGAATTTCGTTCTTCATATCAGCAAATCTCCTTGGAAGGGGGTGTTCCCCTTGAGTCAATATAAATCCTTCTAAGAGTTTAAAAGGATTGAGGTGAGGTGGCTTTTTTTTTTCTGCTAAAGATAAGGCCATTTGAGGATGATTTCCTTTGATTATAGGGTTTCAGAGTGAAGGTCGACAGATTGGGTTAGAGAGAGGAAGGCTGTAGAGAGAGAGAAATTAGGGTTTGCGTGTGATGTATATACCTTAACGACTGTAAATGGTTCTTCCTCTATTGGTGATAGTGATGAAGGTGATGATGTGGTTATAGGAGGACGAAGATGGCTAAAGAGGGAAAGTGGGGCAGGCGAGGGGAAGGCTGTAGAGTGAGAGAAATTCGGGTTTGGGTGTGATATATATATCTTAATGAATGTAAATGGTTCTTCCTCTATTGGCGATAGTGATGAAGGTGATGATGTGGTTATGAGGAGGAAGAAGATGGCTAAAGAGAGAAAGTGGTAAGGTTACGGTGAAGAGGTTGGAGCTATCAAATATAGAGTTTTACTCGTGCTCCACAGACTGGAGGTTTTAGAACATGACAAAATAGGGAAAGTTTTTGGGCGTACACCCCTCTTGAATAGAAGGTCTGTATTCCATGTTGCAACTTTCCTTCCCTATCCCTTAAAGTTGGCCGCCCTTTGGGTGGGGCCCCTTGATATAAACGGGGGCATACCATGTACCTTGGACAGCACAAGCTGGTGTGCGTCTATTTAGAAATCATGTGGGGCTCAATTGTAAATTTACTAAAAAATTGTAGGATATCATTAAAAATGTCATGCAAGGTCCTTATGTAAATTATGCTTAATATAATTGCCCCATAATACAATTGATTCGAGAAATATATTCTCTAATCAATTTGAAGTACAATGACTTGTTAAAAATAGACTTTGGTTGAAGATTAATGCTAGCATGGGATGTTAAACTCACTGGTGTTTGGATCAAGGTCCATTCCCAAACTTAGCTACATAAAGCAAGTCTGATCCAAAATATTAATGATTGTCTTCAAGTGGTGGAGGGTCATGATTATTGAATCAAAGCTCAGCCTTTACTCAGTATAACGAATTGCTAGGCATGGTATCATCCTTTACTTAGTACAGTGAATTTCTATGCATGGAATGTTTGAGTTTGAAGGTGCCACACCTAAGGACTAACAATATGACTGCCCAATTGCTATGTATGTGGTGCACTCTAAACTCATGTCTAGGTGACATGCCATGATGAGACTAAAACTTCTTGTTTAGGACTTATATCCTCTTTGCCATGTGCTATGATGACACACACACACACCGCACATCATCATCATCATCATCTAAGCCTTATTCCAATTATTTGGGGTTGGCCATAGGTTCAGGATTCACGATAAGATGTGGTAAAGTTGTATGCTAGCTGCCCACATAGTGCAACCTACCTCCATTACCTGGGCTTGGGGCAGGTTAAGGGAAAGTTTTAAGTCCTCGCCCTCATTTAGATCATATATAGAAATTAAGGTGTTGAAGGCCACACAAAACCCAACTGATTTGTGTTGTCGAGGATGTGAATAGAGCCATCTAGTTGATTGGACTGTTCAGAAGATTTTGGTCACGGCTCCCAAAAACTAGGTTGAGATGTGTAGCCCACTCTATATTCCCTTAGGGTTCTTCTTCAGTGGTACTCAAATCCTTGATAATGCCAATTCTAGATAGGAAGACCATTTGGTAGTTCCATGATACTAAATTGTATATTTGATCCAGCAATGAAAGCGCCTGATTATTTGAATTCGTTTGACCTTAAAGGGCTCTAACTGGACTACATTTTATGGACATCATTTTGGGGTTTTAAGATCTAAATTGATTTTTCCACCCTGGGAATTGGTCCCAAGTTAAGGAATATTTTAAACTTTTGATGTCATAATATATCTAACAAGGTGTTTTGCTTGCAACACCAGATGGATAACTTGGTATCGAGAGACTCTATTAGACTGCCCTTCTTATATGCCGTCTATGGTAAAAGGCAGTAAAGGCGAGTTCCCACTGCCCACACTTTTTTTTTAAAAAAAGAAAATCATGAAGCCCCTTTTTTTTGAAAAATAAAAAGAATAGCTAGGGCCTACAAAAATGGTTAAAGCCCTTCTCTCTCTAGTTGATGGACCCCGTGCTCTCTCTAAATATATGAAGAAAAAGAAGATGGTCTCCAAGTGTCCGATTTGAGGCCCCCCTCTCTCTCTCACATGTAGACACAAATACACACATGGACCTATATGTTTCTCTTGTCATATAAGAAGAAGATGTTGATGATGACACCTCCGGGTGTTCGAGATGAGGCCTCTCTGCCCCCCCATCCCCCCAACACACACACACACAAAAAACCACCAACAACTCCCCTGGTTCCCCTTGGACTCATATTTGCTCTCTCCACATATATGAAGCTGAAACAGAGAAATACTTGGGCCAATTTTTTACACACACGGATGCATATGCTTTTTATCTCTCTCACTTTACATACATTGAAAAAATAAGAGCACCTAGGTTTTTGATGCGAGGCCTCGCACCCACTCTCCTCTCTCTCTATATATGTATATATTGGTATGCATGTACGTGTGTTTGTATCTATATCTATATATACATGTATATATATTGCCCCGGATGGGGGATGTGGGTGGGCGCCCACCTAGGTGGCCAGGTCCCCAAACCACCTGTGCAGGTACCTGTAAGGTCAAACGAATGGAGATGTCTTCCTGTCAGTATAAAAATAAAAATAAAAATAATAAAGAATTGCTAACCCACTACTAACAGGTACCTTTAAGGTCAAACGAAAGCTGCTAACAGTTTAAAAAATTGCTAAACCACTACTAACAGTAAATGTTCAAAAAAAATAAAAATAAAATAATAAAGATTGTGGCCCTTGAAAATAAAGTATCTTGTATGTTTTGTCGATCGATGTAAGCATATTGAGCTTATAGTGGACAAAAGTAGTAGCAAACATTTTTTGGGCTATCCTGATGTTTTAACATCTGCAACTGTGGATATCAGGTTCATTGTCCTGGGGCAGATATTGATACCCTTTGTGTTGGCCCGTCTTACGTGAATCGGGAGGTGAGATTTTGTTGGAATCTTGTATTCACTTATTTAAACTTGTGATGGCCAGATTATTTTCTTGGTGGACTCCTTGCTAGGAGGAGTTGAAAGTTTGAGTTGTAGACTTCTTATTTTGTCTGCTTGAGTTGAAATGGTGCATATTCTTTTTGAGGCCTTAGAAAGATATTGTTGAATTTTATTGAAATGTAGAATCCTTATTTCGGCTTTCCCCCCCTGCAGGAAGATTTCTTTATTATTTTGCATGATATACTCGCTAGCATGGAGGAAGTGAGTGAACTGCAGCCAGTTCCTGATGCGCATGTCCCAGTAATGAAATTTAAGTTCAATGGGATATCAATTGATCTACTCTACGCCAGCATATCGCTCTTGGTTGTTCCAGAAGTGAGTTGAAGTTGAAGACAGTAGTTTTGTAGTATTATGGTCCGTCTGTCATGTATGATTGATTTCTTTCTTGATTTCTGTCTTTGGGATGGGATGGATGCCTTATGGGTGTGAGAATGAGTTTCTACCGCTGTTTTTATGTCTATGGTTTGTTCTAGAATGTTAGATTTTTTAGCAAATAGTGTTGCTTCAGGAATATGCCAGGGTGTTAGTTTTATTTCTTTGCCCTTTTTTTTTTGTGTGCTTCGGTGTTCTTGGTCTTAATTTGAGTATTATTTGGTGCTTTATTTGTGCAACAATGGTATCATCATCAGAGCCTTTTCCCAACTATTTTGGGGTCGGCTAGAAGGTTTTCAATTGCGTATATCTGGTGCTTTATTGCAAGGTCAAATTGCATGTAACTTTGAGAAGTTTCGGGAGGTAAGTTTGCTTTGATTGACTAAAAGGTTTTCAAATGATGGACTGCATTTACTGAAGTGTTATCATTATGTAAAAAACCTGTTCGATTCAATTATAAGACATTTAATCAATAATCTAATTTCGTTTTATGATAGTGCTTTTGATGCTTGTTATATCTAGTCTTCAAGCTAATCACTACTGTGATGGGTGTGAGTCTACAATTGTAGTTTTGAGCTGAAACTATTGTCCGATTAGGTGAAGGTTCAGCCCATGCCTGGCAAAAGAAGATAATGGTAACATGATATCTACATCTTTAGATGTTTCCTTAACTGTCCTCCATAAGATCAGTAAATTACTAGCCTCTATACTGTTTTTCATGGGACCATTCGGCGCTTTGATCTAAAGTAATACAATGTCATAAATAATCACACTTCAAAAGTCAAGACATGTGATGGCTTTCATCAAATCTATCCTAAGCTTTTGAATACACATGTTTCATCCTTTAAAGGCTCTTGAGTATGCAAGTCTATGAATTTATCTACATTTGAGCTTGAGTCATCTACTTGAATCCCTTAAAGATCATGTTAGCTGTGACTTTGTCCTACAATCTCCTAAACAAAGCAACTCAGCATTTTATTCTACTTGTAATGGAGACTTCCTTGAATGGATGCTTAGTGGACTTCATCATTAGGCTTTTGAAACTGATCCAGGTACACAAGAAAATAAGACCATTTCTGTAGGCGTTCCTCTGTATCGATCGAGTTGTTCTGGCTCCTGGGATGAGCTCAACTGGGTTAGGGCTCTTGGTTTGGTCCTTTGTGACTTGTGGGATGCTCCAAAGTGAATAGGTTCTTCAAATAGAAGATTGGGTGCACGATCACCAGTTCACCCCCAATATTTTCTGATTGCCACACTCTTTATCTACATGCTATTCAGTGGAAAATTTGTAGCACCTTTCAAGATTTACAAGCTTGATGCAAGAGGGAGAAGTAATGTTGGTAGACCTTTTCGAGGGTCACACTCCTGGAAGAAACTAGGTCAAGTTTGGATACTGGCTGGCCCTTAAACAAGCGAAATGGTCTGGCTCTAAAAGTCTTGATCTAGGTGGCTTAAAGGTTGGGCATGATACTGCTTTCTTTCTATAAACTGCCCATATGAGAAGAGGCAATTCTATCTTAAGATATGGTTGCAATACCGGTCATTGGAACAAGAAGGTGGGGAAAGACATTTTCAGCCTTGCCTGCAGAGTATTATTGTTGTAGTTTTTCTAGGTGTAGGAGTGGCCTATTTCTTTTAGTCAGAATGTGAATGATAAGGATACTTAGTGGGATCTTATGTTTGATAAGCATGTAACTCGTGCAAATATCTTCATGGTGGGTAGGGACTGCAATCCAGAGTTTTTTGTTTCAGGTTTTCTGGGGTTCCATTCCAACATGTTTCATGCACTGGTTTAGAGAGTTACAAACATTTGTCTCAATGACCTGGTCAAAGGTAAAAAAACCTAGTGAAAGTCCTTCCTTCTCAGACTCCATGAAATCCTGCTGTTAGTTGTCTCTCTCAAGTGGCCTTAGTAAAGTTTCTATCCATCTATATATTTATTAAAGGAGTCACCCTAAACCCACAGGCCTTGAAAAGATCTTTCTCTGCCTTCAGTTTCTTTTATCAGGGTGGCTTCCATTAAGATGTTTTCAAGAATGTTGTATTGGATGGTGTTCTTCACATTGAGAGTGTTCTTCACATTGAGAGCATTCTCAAAAAGGAAAAATATTGGCTAGGCCGCCTGTTGATGGGGGGTTTGATGTTGGGGAGGGAAGAGAAGTGTGTAATATTTCGTGTTTTTGTTCTGTTTGCCTTTCTAGCTCTTATTTCTAATATTGCATACGAGTTCTGCCTTGCAGCTGAGTGCCTTCTTTCCCTTTGCTTTTATGTTCAACAAGCTGTGTATCTTTTAATATGCCAGCCTTTTATTCCTTGCACAATCATTGTGCAGGATGTGGATATTTCACATGGATCGGTGTTATACAATGTTGATGAACCCACTGTTCGAAGTCTTAATGGCTGCAGGGTTGCTGATCAAATACTTCACCTTGTCCCCAATGTTGAGGTGATTCGTTGAGAATGAGTAGAACTGTGAATAATTTATGCATTTTCCTGCCCCCCACCACCACGACCACCGCCACCACCCCCACCCTTCTTTCCTCTTGTTTGGAGGCATTTGTTCTCTCTCTCTCTCTCTTTTTGTTGGGAGGGGGGGGGGGGGGTGTGGTCGTGGTGCAGCTAGATAAGGGAAAGGGTCCCCCACCTGCGCTAGGGATAGAACTCAAGGTATCATTTTTTGGCACTCGTCACCCTGACCAACTGTGCCTTGAGGCCATTCCTTCTACAGGCATTACGGTGATATTTCTTGTTTGCATGTGGTGTTTTCTTATTGTTTCCTAAATTTGTGATTTATAGCACTTCCGCACGACACTTAGGTGCTTGAAGTTTTGGGCAAGGAGACGTGGTGTTTATTCTAACGTAAGTTTCACAGAGTCCTCACTTCTTCAATTTTGTCTGCATTTGTATATTGACCTTTTCTTGATCTGTTACCAGTATATAAAAGCATATGCTTCTTGTCTTGTTCGTACCAGTTTCCTGGGCTTGCGTTTTTTCCCATCTTTTCCTGCTTTGTTCTTCTTGTTGGCTGATACTCTGATTTGTTTAGGTTACTGGATTTCTTGGTGGAGTAAATTGGGCTCTCTTGGTTGCACGTGTGTGCCAGCTTTTTCCAAATGCTGTACCTTCTATGCTAGTGCCCCGTTTCTTTAGAGTTTACACGCAGTGGCGCTGGCCAAATCCTGTAATGTTGTGTGAAATCGAAGAAGATGAACTAGGATTTCCTGTTTGGGATCCTCGTAAAAATCCTCGCGACCGAACACATCACATGCCCATAATAACACCTGCATATCCATGCATGAATTCCAGCTACAATGTTTCCACTAGCACACTGAGAGTTATGATGGACCAGTTTGAAAAAGGGAAAAAGATATGCGAGGTTTTCATTTATTTTTCCTTGCTTTAATGATTTTTTAGTTTGGTATTTTTTACTCTTTCTACTTAACAATTTTCTCCATTGATGGCCTATTTGTCAACTATTCTTAATCTGCAGGAGATTGAATTGAACAAAGCTCACTGGAGTGCTTTATTCGAGCCCTACCTCTTTTTTGAGACATATAAGAACTTTTTACAAGTTGACATTGATGCAGCAGATGCTGATGATTTGCGAGCTTGGAAGGGCTGGGTAGAATCCCGTCTGAGACAGCTGACTCTTAAGGTGCATTTCCTCTGATTGTTTATAAGCACAAACATGCACACAAACTATTTTTGGCATGTTCATTCGGCTGCCACGCATTGGGTGATTTCATTTTGGGTGGATGATTTCATAAACTGCTGGGAACATTATCTTTTGCTCCCATGTGTGATGTTTACTGTAGCATACAGTTTTTTTTGAGTAAAACATAAGCTGCAATGATACATAATCTAGACATGGTTTATGAGCAGCATTTGTTTGTGGTTGGCTTTAACTAAATGTAAGGAATGTGTCCTTATTTTGTCGCATGTTGAAATGATAAAGTTTTTCTTTGCATATTATTCGAGGGATTTTTTGATGTGGTACCAACTCGTTTTAAAATAGAATTTTTTTTCTTTTGATAAAACCAGACAATGGTCCACATAAATTCTGCTTACTAACAATCTTTTATGTAGAGGTAACCGTTTTTTTTCTTGCCATTATTTACTGTTTTTTTATTAAAAAGTTGTTACGTTGCTTGTATTATGCATTATTGTCTCATATATTCTGAGAAGCTTGTTATTGTAGGGGAATAAATGATCTTTCATCCCTTCAAATTTGTTTCAACCGATCAATACGGGAAAATCACCAAAAAAAACAAAAAAGAAGGAAAATAAGTAATTGCAACTAACACGCTCGTGCAAGCTTATGTTCTCAGATAGAACGTGACACATTGGGGAAGCTACAGTGCCATCCATACCCTAATGAGTATGTGGACAAGTCCAAACAGTGTGCACACTGTGCCTTCTTCATGGGTCTGCAGCGGAAGCAAGGGGTGCATGTTCAGGAAGGCCAGCAGTTTGACATAAGAGCCACGGTCGACGAGTTTCGTCAGTCTGTCAACATGTACATGTTCCGGAGACGAGGTATGGATTTTGCTTTTCAGAAAATTCATTTGAGTCCAGGGGTAGGTGGCTTCGAAATTGGGGTCCAACTTTTGGCGAGTCCTTCGGTTCTTTCTGTTTTTTCACTTTTGCCACTAGTTATACGTGCCAATAATGTACTGAAATTATGTTTTAGTGATGTGCAGAGATTTGGAAAGTTGGACGATACATTTTTATTGACATTGCCATTTTCTGTTGAACAATTGTTTCATGCGGGCTGGACCGCATTTGTACAATATGCGGTCCAGAGGTATAAAGCGTCCATCTTAAAGATGGATGCAAATAGGTGGTCCATCTAAAAACAATTGTAACTAATGGTCGAAATGTTTTCTTAATATAATTATTATTACTAGTTTTCAAAATATATTTATTTATTTATATTCATGATCTCCATGTTAAAGATTGTATATTCTTTAAAAATTAGGATCAAATTATATTTAAAAATAATTTATTTCCAGGCCTGCATTTCTACATGTGTGGGCTTTGGCTGCATGCTAATCGTGTCCTCTTCTGTTTTCAGTTTTTCAATAAGTGTGTTAAAAATCGAATTGGTTGGAAGAACTGGTAACCCACTGGTTCTGAGCCCATTCACCGGTTTTCAAATTGCTAAGAACACGTGGGATCCGGTACAAAGCGTGGGTGTGAGGCCTGGAGCCTCGGACTGGTATGGCACCAGTTCCTAGACGGCTCGGGCAGTTCCAAGCCTCCCAATTTCACACCTAATTGTAATAGTTCTATGGGTGATTATAATCTTTTTGTACCAATTGTAGACAGTCTAGTTGTATACTTCTCCAAAAAGAAAAACTTGACAAGATTGTGAACTAGAAAAGGTAAACACTGTAGTTGTACACGTTACCTAAAAGAAAAACTAAAACATTAACTTCTGAAAGGACTTTCCCACTTAACGTTTTAGTCTGCGTCAAACCTCTTACCATTCAAAATGTACCGAAATTATGTTTTATTAATTTGACTTGCAACAGAAGAAATATTCAAATTTAAACAAGAAGATATATAATGGAATAGATTACAATAGCATCCTTTTTCTTAATTACCAGAAATACCTCCTTTGAGATTTTTCTGAATAACAAAAACTTTCAAATGTTCCACACTTTCCTAAAAAGAAAAACTTGAAAAAATTGTTAACTTACGGCAGGACTTGCCCACTTAACCTTTTAGTTTGCGTCTGACCTCTTACCATTCTAAAATGTTCTTAAATTATGTTTTAATAATTTGACTTACAACAGAAAAGAAATATTCAAATTTTAAAAAGAAGATATATAATGGAATAGATTACAATAGCATCCTTTTTCTTAGTTACCAAAAAGATGTACTATGAAATTTTTTCTGAATAGCAAAACTTTCAAATGTTCGAAAGGAACAACTAGAAATTGCCATCTCAAATTGTTGTCCAGTATCCATAATTCCACAAAACTAATTGAACTTGTAGGTATGGACATCCGCGTGTCTCATGTCAGAAGAAAACAGATACCATCCTATGTTTTCCCTGAAGGGTACAAGCGGGTCCGGCCCTCGAGGCCTCTAAACACCACACCTGAAAGGAGCCCTCAAGGTAAAGATGATGAATCCGGGGCAGCCGTGGTCGAGCACAAGCTAAAGAGGAAGTTAGATGCTTCTCTTAACCCTTCTAGGCTAGAGAAGGGGGCATCTACTAGCCCTGAAACTTGTTCAAGTGATTCTTCAAGGCTCGAGAAGAGGGCTTCAATTAGTCGAAGCACCCCATCTAAGCCTCTCCTTTCTTGTTCACCCGAGGAGAGCAGCATGAAGTCGAGTGTGACATCTCAAGGGAGTTTGACGGAGGAGGTGGGGTCCGACATGGCGGCTGTGGGACCCACGGGAGTTACCATTGATGAAGTGGATGCGGTGGCGGTTGTGGGTTTGGAGAGCGGTGGGGCTTCAGAGACAGACAGCAATGATCCTGGCTTGGAAGAGGCAATGGTGGAGAATTTGACGGGAGCTGCCGCGTTTCAGAGTGGCCTCATAGAAGAGTTAGAAGTATGCATTTTAACCTTTATTTTCTCTTTTACTTGTTTTGTGACCATATTTTTGATAGAGCCTTAATAAGGGAATGGTGTGTGCTATTGGAGCTCAACCGTCGTTGTGTGCCTATGGGAGCATAACCGCCATCTCAAGTCTTACTTTTGAGGTGTGTGGGGACCTAAACCCAAATCATTCTCTTCCACTCTTGAATGGTCAACAAAAGTAATTGATTTGGGGCTCCAGTTCCACCACTGGCTCAATGGATGTTGAACTTGGTGCTTTGTGGATGCTCCAAATCAAATCTTATTTGGACAAGATTGATTTGGTGGTTGGTTTCCACACACCTCTAGAGTGGTTTTGAGGCATGGAGCCCCGGTGTTGTATTTCGGGGGAGCACATCGTCATTTCCCATACATGGATACATTTATGTATGCTGAATGTTGAACCAAAAAGGGTGATGCATGCTACATGTCTCACCCCCTTTTCTAGTCTCACTAAAGCTTCGGGTTTGGTGTTGGCCACTCCATAGTTTTTTGCACAGGCAAAAACATAAAATTACTCCCTTATGGTGGAGTAAGTTTGATTGGCTGGCACATTGGTTGCACCCACATTAGTAATTCCGACGTTTGTTGTACTCATGTGTCCTAATGGAGTTTACACATGGCATCAGAGCAATCAAAATGCCCCGTTGCTAGGGGGTAATTTTTCGGTTTTTCTTGTTGAGTTAATGCAATTAACCCCGGATAAGTATACCAAGTGACTATTTACTTTTAATACGAGGTCACAATCACTCGTCCATTAGATCTTGTTTTGGGTGGGTGTAAGTGTGTCATTGACTAGACGTAAAGCTCAAATTTTTTTTCTCTAACCTAGTGACGCACCCTAAGCCATCCAATTGGACATATAAGGGCTAGATGGTAATCGGTCTTACTGTATACTATCCCATTAGCTCCACAAGAAATTGATTTGCAGTAGACGGTGAATACTTGTTACCCAATTTTTTAGAAACTGTGTGTGCGCTCGATCTAAGGGTAATTTAATGTCCTTTTTGAATATTCCTCCTAGATTTGATGGAGCTAAAGAACTGCATTTTTTTTATATGTTTTATTTTTTCAATTTTTTTTTTTTTCATTTTTCAAGTTCAAATTTAAAACATATGCAATATGAACCCAGGTAATGACTTTCTATGGCTTCATGTCAGTAAGTAGATTTGTATTACAAGCTAGTACATATTCCTTGCTGGTATTTTGCCCTTGCTGCTTTTTTTCTATCTTGTCCTTTGTATTTGACTGGTTACTGCATAACTCGTTTGGAGAGATTGACAAACTTATTGTGGAGTATGCTAGTTGGAGAGTGTGACAAACTTCGCTCAATGGGTAGTGTATTTGCACTGAGAACACTTATTTTCCTGTTTCATGATCTTGGTGATGATGGGTGCGATTACTTAATGTCTGATAAGTTGAAAACTTGATGAGGGTAGAAAGTGCTGATAGATTGTATTATCTGGAAGGGGAAAATAGTTGATTTCTAAACTTGAGCTTTGGATGTGATTGCATGTTAAATTATTATCATGTTTGATTATGAAGCCGGATGTGGCTTTGGGAAGGGTTCTCAAGGCTCGGAGTGGAGTGAATTCGAAGGCCTCTGTGCAGAAACCTGTGATAAGGCAAGTCCCTAAAACGCCATCGCATCTATGAATAAATCTTTGTTCCATGTTTATTTTTATGCTGTCGAAATTGCTTCTTTTTGCAGATTAAGCCTTACATCAACTGCTTGAGCTTTTCTCCTGCTTGTCCCCTTCTTGGGAAACCATGTAAGTCCAACGCTAACTTTTCTGAACTCATGGAAATTTCTCCTGCAAGTTGTGCCCCCAGAAAAAAAAAATAAAAGAAGAAAGAAAAAAAGAAAAAGAAACTAGAAAAAAGGAAGAAAAGAGGGAGAAAAGCGGAGAGGAAATCAAAGAAAATTGGAGAAGGGTGCGCTTAAGGAAGGAGAAAGCCCGCTATTGTTTGGAATGGTTAGATTCTTTTACTACGCTGGCTCTTCTGATTCGGGTATTCAGGCTCTTTCATCGATGAAAAAAATATGTGGAAATTGGATGTACGCTTGTGTACAGAGGTGGCTTTCCATGGTTTCCAATTTGTTCAGCTGCAGAGGCCACGCAACGAGAGATTTGTTTGGGTCCTAACAGAGGTTATTTTTATTAATCATATGTATTTGTAAGTATTTTAGAGAGCTTTTAGGGTTTGAGTGTGCTTGTGTCCTAGTATGGAATTTTAGGCAAGTTTCAGATTGTTATTTAGGACAGATTTGGTCTAGATCAGGGTCTTACTTTTCATTTGTAGGTTTTCAGGACATGGAACGTCAAAGACATGTTCGTTTTTTCTTTTTTGGTTGATTGTAATACATTGAACAGATTAACATAATTGTTCTTGTAAAAATTAGTTTGCTGTTCTTTTGTACGTGACTCTCTCTCCTATTTCTTTAATTTGTGAAGCCCTGCAGTCCCTCTCCATTTAGTCATCAATGATGCATGTGCAGGATCTTTCAGTATGAATGCGCTCTCCCTCACTCAGATTTAAACTCTAATTCGTTAATTATACCAAAGATGTTGGTCTCTCTCACTCGCCCTCGGTATATATATATATATATATTAGGGGCAAATCTGCAGCCCCATAAACAATGATAGTTATGGCAGTTTGAAAACCTTCAAATCGATCATCTTGGCTCTGACTATTAGTATGTATTAGTAGTGAAAATAAAAGCAGCACTTCATGCCTAAAAAATAGTGTATATTGTAAGGTGTCTAAATCGTCTAATTTGTCCAAAACAATAGTATCTACGGATATGCAAGATCTGGGATTTTTTTTTAACGTCAAATTTTATAATGGGTGTTGGAAATTGATTTTAGAACTATTATGGAGATTTCAATGCCCAAGGTGCATTTAAGAGAGAATTTGAGTTGGGGCTCTTTGTTTCCATAACAACACTTGCGCCCACTGCGCAATTTGGAATGGCATCCATGGTGAGTTTAAATTGTGCCTGCCCCAGTCTCCGTTAAAAGGATGCGTGATTACGACTAATGCCCTTGATGAGTCAGGCAGCCAGCCTTTAGGAGACTCGGGGGGCGTGGTCCACTTTTTACATGTGTTTACCTTTAACCCCAAATTTTTAACTGTACCATTCCAACACTCGTAAATTTTACCGACCTTTTGGAGACCATGCTAAGACTCTCTCTGCTAGAATTTTATGAGTAGAAAGAAATCTTCAAAGATGTGTGCTTACTTTGTTTGTAGCCAAAGCTTCAAGAGTTGCTCATATTGTTTATTTGGAGCTACATGGAAGTAGTATTTTTTTTCTTTAACATCTTATGTTTATGTAAGAAAATTACTTTCTTTCTCACTCCCTCGTATAAATTTTCATATTCATGCTTGAATTTATTTACAATTTTTATGTTTTATTATATACCATAAATTGTAATTCTTGAAAAAGAAAAGTGGAACTCTTTGCTGCGGGTATAGAATTACAGTCTTTACATTAAAGTTGATCTGTAGTTTTGAGTGAACAACACAATTCCTACTTGTTTCTTATACACCTTATGTATATGCAAGTTTATTAGTTTGCACAAGCATAATAATAAGTCCTTTGGCTTTTTTCAAAGGTGGTGATCGCAATTCCAATATCATTTTTCTTTTTACCTAGTTTGTGGAGTGTGCCCGAAAGGCATTGGGGCTGTCACAAACGCAGAGACGTTGTCCCTATATCTCGACATTTTGGGTGAATTTAGCAATCTATAAGATGTCACAAGAATTTGAGTTAAATTGTAATGGTGCTATTCTTTTTCATAAGCTAAAACAATAAGACTTTGAAATATTCATTAGGATTGCCTATGAAGAAATTTGTTAGTGGTGGGGGAATGGTAGATCTAGAAGCCTTGAGTAAGACTCTTCCTTGTAGAATCCATTAAAACGATCGAGAGCATTACGCTGCGGCACATACTCTTTGCTTTATTGGCGAACTCTTTCTTGAATAAGAAGGAAAAGAAAAATGCGTTTCTAAAATATTTACAAAATAAGGGCCAAATTGTAATTTTTTTTTTCTTACCCCGCTTAAAAATATTTTTAAAAGGGAACAAAGAAATTTAGAAAGGAAAATAAAGAGCCACATGATGAGAGGTATAAGTAGCCGTTGAGGGGCTACACTTGGTAATTCTCTCTCTACAAGTGTTTCTCTCTACTTCCTTCAAGTGGCTATATATGGGGAAAGGTATCGGAAAAGCTTAGGCACCTTGTACGAGCTTGGCATGGGTCAAGTCCAAGAATCTTTTGCACATGGAGGTCACAATCATTCCCATTCATTAGATGTCAAATTGGATGGCTTAAGGTGAGTCACGAAGTCTGAGAATTGCTTTTTGGAACTTTGTATGTATTTAATGACACTTTTATAACCACCCATTTTGAAATTTAAGACATTGATTGTGATCTCCATGTACAAATGATAAATGATCTCTTTGTAGACAAACCCTTATTATTAAGACCTGAAATCTATTTTTTCTTTCATATGTATGTATATAGAGGTCAAGATGATCAATTGAAAGGTTTTCCAATATCGAAACAACTTTTTCTGACCGCTTTGAGGTGCAATGTTACTTTTATAGTATAAAGTTTGACACTTTACGTAAACCTTTTTCAAAAAAAGAAAAGAAAAAGGATCACAAACTTATTATGGATTCTAGAGTATACTACTCAAAATGAAACATCTACATATACAGACAATATGGCTCCAAGAGACATATTGGCTTGTCGGTAAGTGCTTGCCTACATGATTATGGCTTCATAAAAGGAGTCTTATGTTTGTTAGAGGTTGGGTCGGTTTGGTGATAATACATTAATTGCATTTCAAGGAATAAGAGAGAGAGAGAGAGAGAGAGAGATGTGGGTGTCTATGTTATCTCTAGAACATTTGACTTATGGAATTTGTATTGGATGGGCCATTTGGATTTGCATATCCTTGGTTATTGCTTCTTTTCTCATTAGTGGGATAAGATCTTGACCTTCACTGGAGACTGATTGTCAACTCAAGGGTGCAATTTTTTGTGTGCCTTTTGGACCTTAATCATACCACTAAACTATTGCTTTTACCCTTTTAATATATATTTCTCTCTCCCGCCCCATCACAATAACATTGGGCGTCTGTTCTCTCAAAAGCTTTAAGGTGGCTCTTGAATCAAGAGCTCTCTCTCTCTCTCTCTCTCACAGGAGGGCCACAACATAAGTGCTTAGTGGGGTTTGACTTCCCATCTTATTTGAGGTGGGTTTGCTGTAAAGATTAGTAGCCCCACAAGGAAAATCTCATTTTTTCTCCTATCATGTACACCATTTGACTTGGAACATTGTCCATTTAGGAAAAGCGATATGTAAACTTTAAGCACCCAACCCAGGCTTAGTTAATGCACCACTCATGGATTATTCAAATGCATTTAGGGTACAAATCCCCCACATGTGGATGACTTAAAATAATCTAGCTTACGATTACACCGTATCAAGCATTTCTTTTTCTCTCGCTAAATTCAACATTTCTTTCTTCTCTCTCACTCTCTCTCCTATGTTCTATTCCTTTTGAAGATTTGCATTGATGTCATGGACAAAATTTCATTAATTTATTCCACTCTTAGAGGGACATACATACTTCAACACCAACAACAACAGGCTCTCATAGTATCTGTGTTTAAAAAATCGGAATCGGTTCCCGAATCAGCTAGGCCCGATTCTTATTCATGCAGGCCCAATCGGACGAACCCTACTGCACTTGACTCTGCCAAAAATAAAAAATTAGAAAAAATAAAAAAATTTGGCGATTCTGCAGATTTCCAATAGGAAATTGCCTACTTCTCAATCCCGATCGGACTTGGGCAATCCGCAAAAAGGAAAGAAATTCTCCCTCCTAAGTGGAATCCATATGTGGTTGGTAGAATTCCCTTGGAAAAGAACTCTTTATCTTTCTCTCTACTTGGAGATACAGCAATGAGAAGAGTTGGAAAGCAAGAAAAAGTGGGCTATCCCATGCTGCCCTTTAGTTTTATTTTTGAATAACTCCACTTTTTTTTTTTTTATGCATGATGATCCCTCTCTTTCTCTCTCTAAACCAAGTATCCTTTAGGTGGGGTATACTAGCAGTGAACCTCATTTCTTTAGTGTGGGTGCGTGTGGATGATAAAGACTCAATTATTTTAGAAAAATAAGAGAGAATAAACTCTATCTCATTCTAAAACTAGGCAAAATGTGCATATGGTTCACACGTGCACGGCATTGAGATGTTATGGATTCCTCTTTCCAGGTCTATACCATTCAAGAAAGATATTCTCAATTGGCTGACTGAACGATGACGGATCGTGGGGAGAAGCTGTTGATCTATCATCTTCTGAGTCATCCATCCCCGCCGCTAAAAGGAGCACTGGAACCCGCAATGGAGGAGCTAGAAGCTTTCAAAAAGAATCTATAAGGGCGCATTTGATTTTTAGAAGATGAGGTTCTAAAAGAAAGGAAGTGGCCGCTTTCATTAGAGAGCATGGAAGCCGATATTTCCACAAATCAATGCTATTTTGGGAGCTACTGAAAGCGGTGGATTCCAAAAATAGTATAGCACTCCATGTAATCAAACACGAGATATGCTAAGTTCACGAAAGATGTGGCTTCTAAAAGCCGCATCCTCCAAAAATAAAATGAGCCCTTTGGATCTTGCACGTGGGAGTGTGTAAGTCCTTAGTGGAAAGAGCACCTACCAAACAAGGAGGAACATAACAGAGTTAGGTGAGAGAGAGAGAGAGAGAGAGAGTTGATTCGGGGCCCACCCACTCAGCCCATGGGGCGGCAATTTAGTATCTTTGAGCTGAGGGTCATGACACGTGGCCAATAGTGTTTGTTATGTGGAGCCCATCTAGGGCCAATATATGATCCTTGGAAATTAATACTAAATAATTAATATACCTATGATTATGAAGAAGGAAAAGGTTTCTATACTTCTCCTACGTCTTCCTACAACATAGACGATCTATGATTCCCCCTACCATTCAGCTCTCCAATTTTGATCAAAATAGCCACTCACCGTTTGATCTTTAGATCCGATGCTTCAAAGTATTTTGTTTTTAGTTTTTTATAGAAACTGTATGAATATGAAATTTGGTATGTGCCATCTTCTCATTGGGGGTTCACCGATAAAAAATATTAAACATAATGTTTTGATTATAATAACCAAAATACCCCTTGAAACTTTCAGGCGTATTTTGATCATTTTGTTTTATTATAAATTTTTTTTTAATATTTTTTGCTAGTGCGAGTTTAATAGAGGATTGGACGTACAAAATTTGATGTTCATATAGTTTATAACAAAAAATTAAAAATAAAATAGTGTAAAGACATGACATTGTGATTGGGGCATCTTAGCCCTCCATTTAGAATGGAGG